TTTCTCGTAGCTCTTGGTTTTGTTGTAGCACTGATATTGCTTGATCTGCTTGTTTAGTTGCCTTAGCTAGCAATGTTTGCAAGTGTTCCACTTTTTCATATAAATTTTTGCACTCATATTTCAAGGCAGAGAGCTCTGAAACATCTTCCTGAGATGCAGCTAGTTTAGATCCCAACTCACTTAAAGAAGATTCAAGAACTGATCGTTCTTTCTCTAGCATTAAAATGCGTTCATCTGTTTCCTTGACATTAGTAAGCTCTGACTTCAACGCTTGAAGATCCTGCTTCAATAATATATTTTCTTTCCTTAAGGAATCAAGTTCCTCGCTCAGTGAATTAATAGAATCATTATCTGAAAGTGGAACTGAATTATTCACTTGAAGCACATTTTCTTCTCTGCTTCTACTGCTAGACAATTCGTTTTTCAACTTTTCCAACTGGTCTTCTAGAAGTTCCACATGTATTTTTTCTTGGGCAGCAACTCTGAGCCGTGCATCAGTTTCTGCCAGCTTCATTTCTAAAATGCTGATCTCTCCATGCAAATCCTCTTTCTCTCCAAGAATTTTTTGAAGATCTTCTAATGCACGAATTCGAGCTTCATTGAGTAGATGAATATCTACATATGTTATTCAGAAGGTAATGAAGTTACACAACAATTCTTTTGATTTTGATGAATTCACACAAACTTTTGAGGGGAGAAAACCATGAAATGGCAAACAGAATGAACTTGAAGATTGAAAACCAGAATTGTCTTACTCTTTTCCGCATTTCTTATCATGCCAATCAAATCCTGAAGATGAACACTTGAAGGTTGTTCCTCCTCATTTGAGTCGACAGACTGTTTCAATCACGAGGTATTCAATTTATGATCCCAAGAAATATGCACCATTAGGATGAATTGAACAAAAGAGACAAAAAGAAAAGACATTACTGATTAAAGAGTAGATATGAAACAAGAATCTTTTCAACTTCTATATTAGTGAGGAACAAAATGACAAAGACCATCTGGTGGAGCTTAGTTCTGAGGATGTATGACATGCATCAAACCTCTGTTGATTTGCTAGCTTCTGTTCCGACCACGACAATAAAATGGATGTTATGTGATGCAAACTAAGTTGTTAGGACCATATACACTGATGATAGATCAGGTTTCATACTTATGTAAATGATACAGTATAGGTCATAGGTCGGTAGAAAATGTAAGGGAAGTATTGGTAGATTTGCAAAAGACAAGAATCAAAGAGAGGTCCAAGAAAATTAACTCTCCTGCATTAAATATATAGATTGGCACGAAAGCTCAGGGGCCAATATACTCAGCAGAAAGAATTGCAGCATGAAGGTCTGGAAGGCGCATTCAGCTTTCTTTGGTTTATCTTTCGGGAATTTTTTTAGCATACTAGTTAAACCATTTAAAGAACTCCATTTTTCTTACAGAATTTGTAGGTGTACAGAAACTATAACTCTGGTGTATATGAAGTCATGTATATTTTGAAATTAAATATGATAACATAAGAACTCTCTTTTTCTAATGGAAGCACAAGGTAGAGCAATTTAGTTCAAATGCTGAAAGGCGCTTAGTTATTTGTCAATGGCCAAAATAAGGGTACGCTCTCCTCGAGGCACTCTTTGCGGCATGCCAGAGATGTTAGATAGCTCTAATAGGGTCCTAGATTTGTGAAAACCTCCACTCAGAGAATTCAATGAAAGGGGTAATCTGGATGACGCACTTGAAAACCCTTATTCAACATACACACAGTACATAATGACTACAAGTATCTCATTGTCCAATATCTCAAAGAGCATACCAAATAACTAATCTCCTCAGAGCTTTCGGCTTCTGCCAAAGTGTCAACATTTTCTTTGATTGAGATTTCCTGCTTTGAACTTGATAGGTTTTGTTTGGACATATTTTTCGTATTGGAATCTACAGCATCACTTGACTGAAGATCAACATTTGTCGGGCGTTCAATATTTGTTTTCTTTGTTTGTTGTCTCTTGTTCTGCAAACTGGAAATTTCAGAGCATAGTCAATTAATGCAGCTGGAGATAAGAAAGAAGATCAATTTTGTTGTTCCCAACAATGTTGATCTACTCGAGTTCTAGAAATATATTTTTCACCAAGCTATTTTAGTAAAGTTCCAAACTAATAAATTGCAGCATATCGTTGTTCATCTTTTGCAGTTCCAGGTTCCGCGGATCATGATTGAATCAATCACAAATGTTTTCTTCTTCCCTCAATTAAAATGTTTACTTTTCTTAGTCAATATCTTCAATCATATTACAAAAGCCAGCCCCCTTCCCTATATTGAGAGGAGAACTCACCAATTAGTCTTCCTTGTTAGAAAGACTACCATCATGAAATGTCAGTTTGTTCATCATCAGCTCATGCTGCCATATCATACACACATAACCTAATCTATAATTTGAAACCCAACAAGTTATGTTCCGTGTTGCTGCTTTTCTCTATACGCCAGTGAACTTCCCAGATACGAGCAAATTAATATCCATAAGGCAATAAACACAAATATCTACTCTATGGAAAAGTTCTAAGCCGTAGCCATGAAGGATAGGTCCTCTTGTTTAATCTTTCTTTTCTTTTTCTGATAAAGAATTAACCTGCCATACCAACAGTTCATGTTTAATCTTTCAAGCAATAAACTAGAGACAAATATCTCAAATACTCAATATTTAGCATATTCTATTCAGCACTACAATGATAGCGTGCCCAACTAAGTGAAATTTAAACAGAGAATAACGCACAACAAAGTACCAGTCCATGTACAATTCCCAATAATATGAAAATGGACGTGTATCACATTAACCAGAAGTTGATCACTTAAAAACCATTTTGCAGAAAAAAATGGAAAAGGAAACTCTGCATAACATTGAAAGCTTCAATGACAAATACATCTCAATAATAATATCCAAACACCTGATCGAAACAATATACTAATACAAAAATAAAGAAAATAACACTTTGCTTACAATCGCCTAACTCAAAACAAAGCACTAACCCTAATTAAAGAATCAAACACTCAAAAGACTTTTCCACACACAAATATTCAAATCGGAGCGAAACTACTCCTACTAACAGAAACTAAAGCAAATAAATCTCAACAACTCAAATCCACTCAACTACTCTTTCCAAACGGATTTCAAATATGATTTAAGTTATATTTACTGACAGTGTTAACGAAATTTTACATTATCAGCATAATATAACCTATTGTAGAAAGTTACTTACCATTTATTCCAAGTTACCAATCAATGATTGTGTAAATATCTTTTACGATATCAGTGAATAGAGATTAAACTCTTTCAAATAAATCCCTAAACCTAATTTAAAACCAAAAAAAAAAGAAAGAAAGAAAGAGAAACTAGAAGCATCTTCCACAACAGTCAACACAGAATCAAAATCATAGGAAACCAACTCCAACGAAAGCAACTGACTCTCGGCAACTCTCATTTATCACAAATTCCTAATTAAACAGATCAAAATTAAAAATAAATTACAAAAACTCAGTATTTTCCCCCATATAAACCTCAAATCACTCGACGAAACCAGCTCAAATATTTCAGAAATGCAATCAACTGATCCATACCAAATCTACATTACTCGATTCCTCGTGAAAACGGAATGGAGAATAGGAGTACCTGAAGTTGCGGTGGCGCATTTTGCCGGAAGCTGGAAGTGGAAGCAAACGTTGAGAAGGCAGTGGATAGAATCGAACATTTACTTGTCTAACAAAAGGCGCTCCTCCTCCGCACCATTTTTGGCTCGGTAAACAGTTGGAGAGCTTCATCTCCATCTATAGGAAATACAATAAATCTCAGCTGAAGGAAGTGAGAGTTGGGAGGGGGGGAGGGGTTGTGGAGAAGAGAAGAGAAGAGAGAAAAGAACAAACCGTTTCTTAGAACCAACGACTACACTGTAAACTGTTTGGGTGTATGCTAATTAAAGTGCACATATCTTCTTTTTTTTATTTTCCGAAAAAAAGTGCACATATATTCGAACTCGGGGGGAAAGAGAAGAAATATCTTGGACTCGGGGAAAGCGGATGATTCACTGCGTTGCTGTCTAGGATAAAAGTTTGTACTCCACAAAAATGTAGTACTATTAGTTTGAACATCGAAATAATTTGTTATAAAATAAATACTATAAAGTAGATAAACTGAAGACAAGTATAGAGAGAAACTAATATATTATTCAATTTCAAATTCATGTACATAATGAACTGAAAACTCCTCTATTTATAGAAGAAACGAAGCAGCTGCGAGGCTTTTCAGGAAGCAGCTGCAAGGCTTTTCTTTAGCTGCTTGTAAGCTATCTGTATGAGTTGCTTGCAACCTGCCTGTTTAATAAGAAGCTGCTGCAAATCATTTCATTGAGCTGCTTGCAACCTGCCTGCATCAGCTGCTTGTAGATAAACTTCAACAGAGTACTAAATAGATAATCTTCTTCAGGAAGATTATCTATAGCGGAGTAATAAATGAACATCCACAATATAATTATTTTCATAACACTCCCCCTTGGATGTTCATTAAAAGATAATGTGTCTCATTAAAACCTTACTAGGAAAAAATCCTGTGGGAAAAAATCCTAATCAAGGAAAAAGAGTACACATATTTAGTAATACGCATTGCTAGCTGCCTCATTAAAAACCTTATAAGGAAAACCCTGTGGGAAAAAATCTTAGTAAGAAAAAAAAGAGCACATCGCGTATTTTACTCCCCCTGATGAAAACCTTGTTTCAAATATTTAAGTTTCCGCATTCCAATCTTGTATACCATCTTCTCAAAAGTTAAAGTTGGTAAAGATTTAGTGAATAAATCTGCCGGATTGTTACTTGAACGGATTTGTTGCACATCAATGTCACCATTTTTTTGAAGATCGTGTGTGTAGAATAATTTTGGTGAAATGTGCTTCGTTCTATCTTCTTTTATAAATCCTCCCTTCAATTGGGCTATGCATGCAGCATTGTCTTCGTATAAAATTGTGGGTCTTTTATCACATTCCAACCCATATTTTTCTCGAATAAAATGAATCATTGATCTCAACCATATGCATTCCCTACTTGCTTCATGAATAATTATTATCTCAGCATGATTTGAAGAAGTAGCAGCAATAGATTGCTTTGTGAAGCGCCATGATATGACAATATCTCCACATGTAAACACATACCCGATTTGAGATCGAACTTTATGGGGATCAGATAAATAACCTGCATCTGCATAACCAACAAGATCTGCACTACCTTTATTAGCATAAAACAAACTCATATCAAGAGTTCCCTTTAAATATCGCTATATATGCTTAATCCCATTCCAATGTCTTCGTGTAGGAGAAGAGCTATATCTTGCTAGTAAATTAACAGAAAATGCTATGTCAGGCCTTGTAGCATTAGCAAGATACATAAGTGCACCAATTGCACTGAGATAGAGTATTTCAGGACCAAGGGGTTCCTCATCCTCTTCTGGAGATCGGAACGGGTCCTTATTCACTTTAAGTGATCGAACAATCATTAGTGTACTCAATGGGTGCGCTTTGTCCATATAAAAGCGTTTTAAGACCCTTTATGTATAGGCAGATTGATGGATAAAGATCATGTCTGCTAAATGTTGAATTTGCAGACCAAGATAAAGTTTTGTCTTTCTAAGATCTTTCATCTCAAATTCTTTCTTAATATATTCAATTGTCTTTTGGAGCTCTTCTGGAGTTCCAACAAGATTTATGTCACCAATATAAACAGCAAATATAACAAATTTTGATGCCATTTTCTTTATAAAAATATATGGACAAATAACATCATTTATGTAACCTTCTTTCAACAAATATTCACTAAGGCGATTATATCACATGCGCCCAGACTGCTTTAAACCGTACAAAGATCTTTGTAATCTGATTGAATATATTTCCCAAAATTTTGAATTTGCTTCAGGCATTTTAAATCCTTCAGGGATCTTCATATAGAATTAATCAAATGAGTCATATTTAAATGACATGACATCTTCAGGTGTCTGGACTACAGGTCTGATCCTCACAATTATTTACAATATTGTGCACTATATTGTATCAAATATATCATCGACGATCATTTCGTATCAGTTCGCAAGCGACATAACTTGTTGAGATCTCATCATTTTTTTTATTTTCAGGTACATGAACTTCTTCCGGAGTTTCATGAAATGTTATGTCGTGGGCTCTTCCCGAGCTTATTTCCTCCTTATTATGATCATTTTGATCATTTGCTCATATTCTTTTTAAGGATTGTTACCTTGGGAACCGATTGGTCTACCACGCTTAATGCATACAGTAAACTCTATCCTTCAGGGACTTTAATTTTAATAGGAGCATTTGCAGCTGAATTATGATATTTAATTTTGGATCAACAAATGCTTCTGGCATTTGGCTTGAATTATCTTCTAAGCGAAGATCATATTAATGATAATTCGATTCATATAGCATATTTTTCAACTATTTTATTCCATCCCCCAAATGTTAGAAAAACTAATATATATCCCAAATCTTCTTTGGAAAACATATCTTTGTGCATTGTGGTAGAGAAATTAATCATATACCACACATCAAAAGTTATTAGATAGTAAAAATATTTGATTTCTGATCCTAAACCAATTGTGAGGGGATGACTTATCATATTTTGTTGGTCTGATGCATACTAGTGCTGCTGTATGCAATTTAGAAAATCTTAGACCAACACATGAGGCTTTATTCTCATAAGCAATAGTTTAGCCATTAATAAGAGGTATTCAGTACTAAACTTGTTTGGATATAAACCGGCATCATCAAGATGAATTATCTTGATTTCATAATCTGAAAATTATGCTCTTAATTGAGAAAGACAATTTCAAATGTCAAACTGCAGGTTGACAATAAATATACATGTAACCATCTTATATATGCATCTATAAGTAGTTCACATGATAGGTGAATGGGCTCATATTCACCTTTTATATATTTCAGAATTCGGGGATTTTAGTCCCAACTTTAGTTGGTATAATCAAGTTATTATGAGAACAAGCAACACAAGAGAATTCTTGAAGAATCTTTTAGTTCTTCAGTATATGCTTATCTGAAAACTTAAAGTTTATCATGGCATGTGCTATCTCTAAGTAAACTTCTGATTTACTATGGCATAAACTTTTGCATCAGTAAACTTCTGATTTACTGTGGCTACTTTTGTATCAGTAAATTTTTGATTTACTGTGGCTGCTTTTGCATTAGTAAACTTCTGGTATACTGTGATACATGATGTAGTACAAATTTGAAGAATAAGGCGGGTAACTTCTCACATACATATTTATCCCATATGATTGTGGAAACATAAAGATTTTCAATCTTTCAATCATTTGTAGTCTCAATATGATAGCTATTTGTATTAGTAAACTTCGGGTTTACTACATCATATGTTTTGACCATAATCATATAATAAGAATGACATATTTGTATATAAGCTCTCCGAGAGCCTTCGTTTATTATCCACAATCTAATATTTATCGGACACTACTGGTGTCATATGTCTTTTAGACAAACATCTAGCTCTTCAGGAGTTGTTGATATATTTTGTACTATCAAATATTGCTCAGACACTTCTGGTATCATGAGAGAAAATCATAATCAAATAAACTATATAAAGACAATTCTAAATTTATAAATGTAAGAAATCAAGAATTTTAATATTTTTACCACCAACTTTGTGTCTCCTTCAGGGAGAAATGCCATTAACATATGAATATTTTATATCAAAGCGGCAACCATATAGTCATTACATCCTTCAGGGAAATGAGTTGTTATTTTCTTCAGGGTAGTTAATAACAACTAACTATAATATATCAATGTGGTTGTAGTAGAAAGCATTTTACAAGAATGATTTTGCCTTAGAATGATACTTAATAAAATTATCCAAGATATTTTACGTACAACAGGTACGTGAGACAATGATTTTTATGCCACAAAAATAATATTTATATCATCTGTTATTCTAGCTCTTCCGGATGTGAGTTATGGTATTTCTTCATTCACTACAGGGAATGAAAATGTGATTCAAAAATAACTTTGAATAGCTCATTATTTTATTTACGCACAGAAAGACACAGTTTCATAATATTTTCCTGCTTCGGGAGAAAATTTCAATTGTGTTATTTCTTCAGGAGCAAATTGAAATACGAAAAATTGAGTATATACTCTCTCAATCATATTACTTCTTCTGGAGGTGAATTATAATATATTTACATCAAGAGCACGTTCATATTTACGACTTTATTAATATTATCACATTCACTTCAGGGAATGGATTAATATTTATCAGAAATTCTCATCCTTCAGGAAATCAAATATAATTATCTGAACGCGCATTAATCACATCAATTGTGATGCTTCAACCTCTTTGAAAATATTTACTACTTCAGGAGCAAATCGATGTGTGCATGTAATATGGAGAATATTTCTCTAGCTTATCTTTAATTGTAACCATAGAAAGCCTAAATTATAACTCTAGTGGTCATAGGCATATACCACTTCTGGTGGTTAACAAAATTTAGTTACAATGAGATATAAGAAACATAACCACTTCTGGTGGTTGTATATTTCTTGCAAACTCTGCTGGAGTTTAAGTGGATCTAACAATATTATCCACTTTGTAATCCTTTATTAAGATAATTAGGATGAAAACAAATACCAAAATAGGTACTATATACGTAACATATAACCAAGCAAGCGATGATAATGATATTAAAATATAAGCAAAAGGCTCAAATTAAATTATGCAAATTTGGCCACACCAGATGTAAG